CTGACCATCAACTAGTGACTATGCTTTCCAGCTCTGGGAAGCGAGTCAATGATGTTATGGTCGTCGTCCAAGGAAAACACCATCGTCTTCACTCTTCTATCAATCGTAGAGGGCGGGGTCCATTTCCCCCTTCACCAACTCCTTAGGGCCATGCTTTGCCATTGGGAGTTAATCCCTTCGCAGCCCAACATCAATTTCTTTAGGGTTGTGATGGGGATTGTCGCACTAAACCATTGCCTTGGGCTTAACCTTGGCATCCCTGCTATTTGGCATTGCTACGCCTTGGCCAAGTCTTCTGGTCAACACGGGCGTTATTTTCTTAGAGCCAGGGACACCGACCATCAACTAGTGACTATGCTTTCCAGCTCTGGGAAGCGAGTCAATGATGTTATGGTCGTCGTCCAAGGAAAACACCATCGTCTTCACTCTTCTATCAATCGTAGAGGGCGGGGTCCATTTCCCCCTTCACCAACTCCTTAGGGCCATGCTTTGCCATTGGGAGTTAATCCCTTCGCAGCCCAACATCAATTTCTTTAGGGTTGTGATGGGGATTGTCGCACTAAACCACCGCCTTGGGCTTAACCTTGGCATCCCCGCTATTTGGCATTGATACGCCTTGGCCAAGTCTTCTAGTCAGCACGGGCCTTATTTCCTTAGAGCCAAAGACACCGACCATCAACTAGTGACTATGCTTTCCAGCTCTAGGAAGCGAGTTGATGGTGTTATGGTCGTCGTCCAAGGAAACTGGGAATTCGGTGAAAGCGAGGATCGCCTTGATCGTATTCCTAGACGGAGGGGCGAACTAGGTGGCCTAGTATCATCTTTTATTCATTTGTTAAATTTATAAAGCTTCGTTTTTGGGGCCTTATGATTTTGCTTTTGCAGGGAACGATTTGAAGAAAATCTTGACCTCAACTGACGACGTCGTCCTTTCAGAAATCAAGACTACGCTCAGGTACTTCAGCCGACGGAGTCTTCAGAAGCAGCGGAGGGCGGCCCACGTTCTGCTCCGCTACGAGCCGACTTATACGACCTTTTCGGCGGCGGAAAATATCCCAATTCCGATTGGTGAGGAGTTTCTTTTCGCCCGTATCTTGACTAACTTCAAAAATTTGAGGCAAGTCGGCTGCGAGGAATAGGAATGGCAACGGGACGGGGCGGGGCCGGGGACCATACTCCCCGTCCCCATTCCCGTCCTCGATCCCTGACGGGGACCCCATATCCCCCCTCGCCCCCGCTCCCGATCAGGGATTGGGTATCCCCGACCCCGCAAATTCCCTGACCGAATTACAGTTTTTTTTTTTTTTAAAAAAAAACAATTTTACAATCTGTCACAATTTTAAGATTTTGTACATGTTTCGAAATTAAAATAATCTGTACATGTTTTAAAGAATCTGTACAATCTGCCACACAATTTTAAGAATCTGTACATGAATTTTCAAAAAACAATTTTAAGAATCTGTACATGTTTTAAAATTAAAATAACTTTCATCCTATCACAAAGAACTTAAAAAATTCAACATAATCTGCCAATATATACAATCTGTCCAGCAGCATCTGCCAATATATACAATCTGCCAAAAATTCAACATAATCTGCCAATATATACAATCTGTCCAGCAGCATCTGCCAATATATACAATCTGCCAAAAATTCAACATAATCTGCCAATATATACAATCTGTCCAGCAGCATCTGCCAATATATACAATCTGCCAAAAATTCAACATAATCTGCCAATATATAATCTGCCAATATATGTCAACAAATTCAATAAATCTGTCCAGCAGCATCTGTCAAATACACAACCCAAACACAAAACATCCTGTAGCAACAAAATAACACAAACAAAACATCTGTCCAGCAACCCACACACACAAGAAAATTCAACAAGTAGCAAAGATAATAATTAATCCCAAGCACAACCCGCAAGGGATAGGTTACCCAAAAATTGAAATTAAAAAAAAAATATTCATTACAACATAAAAAATCAAATCCATTGTTTGTCCAATACCCCATACAAACCACACAACTTCTATCATCTCCTTCAACTTGAATTCCTGTTAAATAACAAAAGGAAAAAAATAAATAATTAATACTAATAATAAAATGTAAAAAATGTTAACAATTAAAACAAAGTGGAGTTTTGAAAAAATAATTACAAATCAGTAAGAAACTTTATATATATCAATAATGAAAATTGTAAACTCTTTCATATATGTATTTTTTCCCTCTGAATTTCACTACGGTGTAATTACCCCTTTCTGTTTTTTTATAACGAGTACAATGGACACAACTGCATCCTCACTGCAGCTCAAGCTAACAACTAACACTTGCTTAATTGGTATAGCATGTTATGACAACACTTATACATGCACTTCAATATTGGGTAACTATTACTTCCCAAGGTGGCAGTTTGGCTGAGTTTAAGGAATTTGGGAACCAACCAAGCAAGAACTAATGTGAAGACCCACCAAAAGCCAAATATTCATATTCATTTTCATATTTAAATTATAAATGTTAAAAAAAAAGAGAAGAATATAAATATTCAATGTTGTATCCAGTTTATAAAACAACAAATTACTGAATTTTATATTAGTACTAGCAGCTTTATAGTCTGTAGTCTACAACAGAGTGCTGTAACGAAAGTTCCAAACAAGATAATCTTGACATTCTAGCTCTAGAGACATCTCCCAGTTCCAAACAAGATCTCACACATCAACCCATATATGAAATCAACATGAATACATTAATGTTATGTTTGGAGAAAGATATAGCTGAGTCAAATGATGCATCAAGGAAGAGTTCAGTTCATAACTGGACCAAATTAATTTCCTTGGTTGACACATGAATTCAAAGGGGAGTTCAAGAATGATAGTTACGAAATCTTTCAGAAGCATAATATTTCCATTTTAGCTAATCAAATTTTAAAAACAAAGGTAAATCCTGGAGCAGTAACTGACAAGCATTGCAAGTATTATCCAAAGAAACTAATTTATCAAAAATAAATAAATAAATTATCCGAAGAAACTATACCTTATGCAGTAGTCATATGTAGCAGGAAAGTCAATCTTAGTCATAAAAACCTCATCAAATCCACCATCTCTACATTTATCGATGCAACCATGTGTCAGAGTAGCTTCATCTTGCAGTTGGAATTATGAGAGAAGAAATATAATATTTAGACTAGTGCACTACCTCAAAAATTAGAGACAAACATGGATTTATATCTATATCTAAAGTCATATAAACCGAAGGTTAATATGATTGCAGTAGTACCCCGAGAAAACCACTCATTGTCATGCGAAATGTCAAATTAAAGCCAGCAAATGGATCGCATATGATTAATGGAAATGATTGTAAAGATGTCCTCCTTTCCTGAAAATCAAAAGTTTAGAAAAGATAATTACATGAGCTATAATGTAAAGATAAAAAGCTAAACCACAAGTTCAGAGAAAGAATACAGTAAACTAACACCCAGGAGCTGAAGGGATCATAAGATGAATTTCTGGGCTTAAGGAAGATAAAATATTTGAACTCTATGTATTCTGATGAAGACATAGTTCAAGTCCAGAGGTTGGCAATATTATCGAGGCTAATTGGCTGAGAAGTATATTTATAGGTATAAACTTCATGATTGTTGACCCTGCTATTGCAATTGATTTTCTTCCATGTGTGTGTGTGTGTGTGAATTAAGAGATTCCTCATCAGTACTCAACTGTAAAATGAAAATAAGGATACTAAACCCAATTTGAACCATGGCCCATAACTTGCTCCGCATCCCCCAACCCGGAAATGTAAATATATATATTATATACATCAGTATCATAAAGGTCGTGAAGAAACATACCTTCAAAGTATTGCTCTCACCTTGAGGCTGGAAGAAGAGCCCAGTTCCCCATAATTTTGAAGTGGCTGCAAAAAAACAAACAAACAAAAACAAAAAAGAACTTTCGTTAATTCACAAACATACCATTTGCTAAATGGTTATGAATTCTTGTGCACAACAGAGCTAGCTGTCAATTGAAAAAGGAGACAAAAAATAGTTTCATTGCAAATCCTACAAGATATGCATTTACAGGGAAAATAAATCATTTGGTTCTCCAGTTTTATTCAATGAAAAATATGCAACTAACTTCTGAACAGTAAAGGGAAGAAGGAAAAACTACACATACCAATGAAGTCCATTGTGACACGAAATATCTGCATTGTGTTCATGGAATTATTAATGCATTTCCCACCAGATTTTGTTGTAAGGTATACCATTATGACAGAAATTAGGAATCCACTTAAGCAATCATGGGCATATCTTGAACTTCTCTGTTGAGCCCAGACCTACACCGTCAACAACAGAAACTAATTTTCCATCTAAACACTAGGACCTATTGCACCAAAATTTAAAATTGCCAAGGTATTGGGAATACATACTTTCAGCAAAATCAAAGCCTCTCCTAATTCTTTCCATCCAAGGAAAGTTCTTCTGACAAATTCTGCATTATCCTCTAGAAACAAGTCCTCTAGTATACTACTATTGTACTTAGGCGTAGCTTGAAGAACACCCCCTTGTAAAAATTCAGAAAATACTGTTAGTTACATCACCATGGAGCTCAAAAACAGTAATGTACCAAAATTGGTGTCTACAAACTACCTTGATTCAGAGCACGAACATTGTTTCGCTCCATGTTCAACTTTGAAACATTAATACAGCTGTAGCAGTGGGAATTATTCTCATCACAAAAATAGGAGATTCAACCACCTTCAAATCTGCAGTAGCAATGAGAAATTTCCTTTCAGTTGCAACATAGGAATAAGAATAAGGATAAGTAGCCTGTAAGCAAAATTTTCAACTCTTACATCACAATAAAAGCTACATAGTTTGATGTTGATATTACAAAAAGGTTTTCATTAAGATTTAAGACTATAAAGTGCTCAGTTAGCAAAATATTTGCCAAACAATTTGTGTCACTTCACACTGCTTGGCTGTCAACAAAGACTTTGTTGATGTGCCTGTTAGGATTACTGCTCTGTTCTTTTAAAGCCATGGAGAACTTATGCCTATGACATGTGGAACTTTTATGAATCGTGTTGTGGCTTCTGTGGTCTCCTTTAAACCAGTGGGTTTTGGAGATTCTGTGAAGGCTGAAGTGGTTGCCGTTCATAAGGGCTTGCCTAAAACATTTTAATAGGTTGGAGTACTATGACAAAGTGGCATCTTTGGCCCTTTCAGACATGGTCGTACAATTGTTAACTTTAAATATTTCTCACTCCATTATAGGTGGATTAAGATAATATTTGTAAGTGTCAACTAGTCAACAAAAAATAGAGAATTATTGGCAGAAAGAAAGAAATGTTGTCTCACTTCTTTTCTATACTAATTGAAATTGCGTTGTTGTGTTAGAACATAGTTGTGCACAGATTAAGCAAGGAAGCTTCGAAACCTTGACAACTTTCTTACCACCCTAGGATTTAAATTTTAAGGCGGATATTTTTGCTACAGGAAGCCCACTGGCCTCTATTAAGCTCAATTGAAGATTTTGTGATTTTAGGGTTAACCTAGTGCATATTGAGGGGGGAGAACCGGTATAGCATATGGTTAATCAATAAAAACCATCTATTCAAATGACAACATCAATTATTAGTTACATTAAGGGAAACTTCCTCCGTCATTTATGGTAGGTCACACTATCAATGGACTAATCTCAAACTCACCCATTGATGAAGCTAAACTTTGAATAATGCTATGTTATATGGACTCTTCAATTTCGTTGAAGTGCCCATGTCAATATAAAATGAGGGTACAAGTACAGGACATGATTTTGATCCTTTTGTTTTGAAAAGGATACTTCTTATTTTTTTCCTTTTTTTGAGGAAAAATGAAATAAAATTTGGAGTAAAATCATTACATTCTATATTTTGCAGTACCAATACATAAAAAATATAGTAAAATTATCATATTACATACAAATGATATTTTATAGTAAAAATATAGATTGGGTCTTTCTTATGGTTGGTGAAAATAAATTGTTCTATTTTTTTCTCTCTTTTTTTCCAATCACTAATCTTGATAAGTGATGCTCTTGGATCCATCCGAAAACCAGAGCAAAATGTTCATACAGGTTTTTCATGAAATAGCCTCAAAGAAAAGGCCCATAGAGAAAACAAATGACATGAAACAGTTGAAAAGTGTGATATGCAGCACCACAAGTATACATAGGAATATCTAGTGCAATCATCAATAAAAGTTATATAGTACTTTTTACCACCTCCAGTTTGCACAAATTTTAAATCACCAATGTCGGTGTGAATTAAAGCTAGTGGTTCAGTACTTCTTTCAATTTTATTAAATAATACTCTAGTCATTTTAGCTTTAACACATACTTCACATTTATGATTAAGGTCAAGATTAAATTTAGGTAAACATTCTAGATTAACAAGTTTACGCCAAGAACCATAATTTACATGTCCTAATCTACCATGCAATAACTAAGAAAAATCAACAATATAAGCAAAAGATGAGTTCTTATTATTAGAAGCAATAGTTGGTACAACAGTTAACACATTGAGCTTAAAAAGCCCATTAGTCATATACCCACAGCCTACATACATCACAGCCTTAATGAGTAGAAAATTTTCAAATTCAAATACTAGCCTAAACCTGTTCTTAATCAACAATGACCCAGAAATTAAATTTTTACGAATTTCCGAAACATGGAGTAGATTATTGAGAGTGAGTTTCTTTCCCGAGGTCATCTTTAGCACTATCTTCCCTTGTCCTTCTACAGTTGATGTGGAGGAGTTTCTCATGAAGAGTTGTTCGCCATTTTCTACCACTTTGTAAGTTGTGAATATTTTTTTATTGGCACAAATGTGGTGGGTTGCTCCAGTATCCACTCACCATTCTTTAGGGTTGCCTACCAAGTTAGCCTCAGAGACTACTGCAGAAAGGTTGATGTCTGCCAATCCCTCAGAAAGGTTGTAACCGTCGGTTATGTTGGCTTGTGCCGGTTTCTTGCTAGAATTTGCTCCATCTTTGCACCTTCGACAATCCTTCGCTCAATGTCCATCACCACCATACACATAGCACTTGCCTTTGAATCTTTTATTGTTATCACCTTTGAAGCCTTGCTTGGACCTTTTGCCATCATGCTTTCTCTTTTTGTTGTTGTTGAACCTCAAACTTTGTCTTTGTTCCACAACATTTACCTTAGCCTACATGACTTGGTTTGTAGACTTCTTCTCAGATTTCCGGTTGTCCTCTTCAATCCTCTGTTGCATGATAAGTTCTTTCAACTTCATTTCCTTGCGTTTGTGCTTAAGGTAATTTTTAAAGTCTTTCCATGTAGGTGGAAGTTTCTTAATAATAGCAGCAACTTGAAATGAATCACTCAAAATCATTTCTTCAGAAATGATATCATATAGGATCAACTGAATTTCTTAGATTTGGCCAACCACCATTTTAGAATCAAACATTTTAAAATCCAAAAACTGTCCGGCAACAAATTTCTTTACACTGACATCTTTAGTTTTGTACTTCAATTCAAGAAATTCCCAAAGTTCTTTGGCCGTCTTGTTTACACAATATATATTATATAAAGAATTATCAAGTCCATTTAGTATGTAATTTCGACACAAAAAGTCACCTTACTTCCAGGCATCTATTGCAACAACAAGTTGACGATCAGCGTTCTTTCCCTCTATCTATTTCGGGGCCTACTCATGGATGTACTAGGCCAAATGCAAAGTTGTAAGATAAAATAGTATTTTTTACTGCCATCACTTAAACTCTGTTCCATTGATTTTTTTCGATTTTTCTCCATGGTTTGTCGACACTATAGGAGTCACTGGCGATGGTATCAAGACTACTGGGGTCAAGGTCAAAATAGTCTCAGCACTATCCATTGCCATTTTTTCTGAAAATCACAATTTCATAAAAAAAAAAAAAAAATACACAAAAATAACTTAACGATCTTAAGCTATAGGAAAACCATTTAATAAAATAACAAACTGTGTGTATTTAAATTTTTTTAAAAAAAGGATTGGAAATAAAATACAAAAATAAATTTTAGAATGTAAACTTATTCTTGTTCAAGTATAAAACTAGAACAAGAACACACACTGAATTACTTTAAATTAAAAAAAAATAAGAAAACTTACAGATTATTGCTGTGTAGAAATGCAGAAAAGAAAGACAGCCAAGGCGTGTGTTGGACACACTTTCCTTAAGATCGTTACATTCTCGCTACGGTGCTTGAGAGCAAATGACGCCAACCTCTCAAGATGCAACAACTATGTAACGCCCTCAAAATAATTAATAAAACCCATCTCATTAGACATGCATTGATACAGAGAAACCAACCACCTTTCCATTAAATCAGAACAGTTCTTACAAAAGTATTACATGTTAACAACAAAAACAAATGCCCTACGGGCTTACAGCTTTCCAAGTTAACACTTGGTTACAAAAAGAAGAGTGTTAACTCAATACATATTAAGCCCTTAGCTTGAATTTACATGTAATACATCAAAAGAAAGTAAACAAAACAATCTGTCTGCCTCTAGCCTCCCAAGCTATGTCCTTGGAGGTGGCATGCTACTTGTACCTGAAAATGATGTCCCATAAAGGGTGAGCCATAGCCCAGTAGAAATATACTAAACCAGCCATGAACAATGACTAAAAGATTAGCAATTGATAGATGGTCAACACAAATACATCTACATATATCACATTTCGATTTCATGACATTAAGTCCATGTTACATTTCATTTCTCATTTCTTTTTCAACTTTGAGTTTGGAAACAAGGCTCAAAACTTAGCCAAATAACCTGATGAGAATAAGACTCATCTTAAAACATTTTTGAAATTCATGGTGGATACACATTGTGATGCTATACCAATAACATATAATTCACTTCCATACTATACGAGCGATACACATTTTGGTGCTGTATCAACATAACCTAGAAACACTTCTATAATTCATAATTGATGACGATATACATTTTAGCGCTATATCAAATCAAAACAAACACTTCAAATTCGTAGCCTGATACACATTGCAGTGCTGCATCACTGTCACAGGAAAACACTTCTAATTCGCAGCCTGATACACATTGTAGTGCTGTATCACTATCACAAGATTCGGTTTAGAGGTTCAGCCCCTTTCTTCCAATAAACCGTGGAGTACAGCCCCGTTCTCCTCCCACACAATACAATGTATATAAGCAATTATCATATACAAATTCAACCTATCACCCCTATCTCCTCCCACACACACAATGTATATAAACATAGATCATATACATAATCAATCAATACATAAAGTTAATGTATTATTCCAACCGCTATATTCAATAGCATACTCAATCGATTAGTTTTAGTTTGCCTAATCATCATGCAGTGTCTACAACAATCAAGACTATCCTCCACCGATAGCCCAAAGCAGTTATTTCTATACTGAAAATAAATGCATCAAATGGATATATAATCAACATTTCAACGTTCTCAATTTAATTCTTCTTTTCTTCAAATTAATTATACCAATTAATTTATCAATGTAATTAGAGCATTTCTCATAATTAACATCACAACCCTAAGGTTCCATTTTCACCAATAAACCAATATTGATCCCATTTCTCTATGCCAAACATGCATGTAAGTTTATATAAACAAAACCCCAACTTTTGTAGAATTTACAC